AATAAATAATAAATAATAATAATAATAATAATAAATAATAATAATAATAATAATAATAATAAATAATAATAATAAATAATAAATAATAAATAATAAATAATAAATAATAAATAATAATAATAATAATAATAATAATAATAATAATAATAATAATAATAATAATAATAATAATAATAATAATGGCATCTGGTAAGGCGCACGTATCCATCTCAAAGAGTTGCTCACGGCGCCATTCCCACTTTCAAAGACAAACAGCCTTTTCTGCATTGCATTATTTGTCGTATTCTGGATTCTATCAAACCTTTCTGTATCCTATTCCATAAGGATTTATTAAAATATGCATACACAATTTTAAATCAGCGAAGTTCCAACTCCTGATAGATTTTCGAAGTTCTGGATCCATTTTACATCTATCATTCCGTGAACAATTTTTCAAAAGAACAAACGACTAGTCAAAGTATTCCATTATCATCACTCAATCTGTCAATTTCTCAGATTTTTGATAAAGACTTGGGTCTAGTTAGTCCATGGTCATATAATTTTCCATTTCTTGTTAGATGTACCATAGATGCATTAGTATAGCTTTCACTCATATACTCTCTCGGCTTTTCTATGAACTTCACTAGCGGTTCCTCAGTATTCGTAAGGCTGAGTGTGTCAGCCATATCAAAGTATGCAAAGTGGACTCCACTTGAGCAACCGGTTCTATTTATATTGATACAGATTTAGCTTGTGGTACCACAGCGTCTATTTCTGCATGCTTATACCTTTCACGGTTTGTGATGATGTTATATCCGGTTATAGACTTTCCGTTTACAGTAATCCTAGATTGTATTTTAACAGAAATGTCCCTATCGAACAGGTCTTTGATTGGGAAGAGAAGTCCGATTTTAGGTAGAGCAAATTTAGGTTAAATTATGACTTTTTCCATATCTTTGAAGAATTGTCGCACAACTGTACAACCATTTTTATGGGTTGTTACGAACACTATCTGCGTAGCAGGAGAGCATGTTCACAATCTCCACAGGAGGAAAATAGTTTGGAAAGTGTTAGGAAGTTTATATAATATTTAATAAACATTCAATTTAATTTATACCAAACAATAACATTTAATTAGAGCTAGGTGTAAGATGAGATATTTTTAAAGAACCAGCTAATCAGTAAGAGAGTGACGACGACTTACATTTCTTGTGGCTTAATGAGACCTAATTCAATGTACTGCTGCCGGAGATCCTTTACAAAAGGCACGTCTCCCTTGTAAATCCTTTTACAAAAACGAACTTCATCTTTTGAACTATTTAATGGAATTTGTCTCTTAGTTGATCCATCATTTAATGTTACGTGTTCAACGCACCTCTTTGTAACCTCATCTTGAATATTGTGGAATTCTCTAAGTTCTTTGTCAAACTGTTTTTTATTTGCGTTAATTTTTTTCCAAAATGTTGTATTAAAATGGTTATACAATCTGGCATCATTGCGGTTCCATCGTCGCATTTGTTCGCGCAGTTTAGGACTTACGTCATACTTGTTTCGTTGCTGTCGTTGAGCTAATTTAATATATATTATATCATCATACTCTAAACACAATACTTGTTTAAGTAGTATTAAAGATTCATCATAATATTCCAAAATCATTACTAAATCAAACTCATTCTCCAGTTGACGGATTTTACAATCTACTTTAAATCTGTCACTGTGGAACTGGTGATCTAAACCAAGATCGTACAGCTGTGCATTGAATGATAGATGCGAAAAAAGGAATGGTTTCTCGAAATATGCTTTTGGAGCTTTCATAAACATCGCCAAGGCATTTGACGTATTCTCCAACCCCCACCCGTCAGCCAAATGAAAGTACCCGAAGGCTGATTCGAGTTGGGCCGTCGGTTCTCTTAAGATGGTAACAAACGCTGCATTCGGGATCACAGCGTCCATTTCTGGACGATTATATCTCGCATGGTTTGTAAGGATGTTATATCCATTTACTATATTTCCGTTGAGTGTAATTCCAAACTCTATTTTGGTGACCATATTCCTATTGAATAATTCAGTTGTCGAAAATATATGGTTTTTTTTGGGAAGAGCAAATATAAGTGAGTGCTTCTGGCCATATCGTTCAAGCATTGATGCAGTTGTTGTACTGCCTGTCTTGTGTGTTTTTACAAAAACTATCTGCGTAGCCGGTGTACACTTTTGTTGGTAGCCGGGTGTTACACCCATTCTACTGGCGTTTGTAACTCTTACCGAAAATGGCAATCTGCAAAAAATACTAGAGGTAGTTAGTTATTGATGAAAGAGTAGATACGTCAAAGTAATTTTAAAGGTACTTACGTATGAAAGTATTATAATTAAATGAATTCGTCATTTGCAGATGCAAATATTTGGAACAATTTGATAAGATTAACTGAAAAAATTAGTAACATGAACAAGCTCAGCTAAGCATTTTATTGTAAAAGTTTCTTATTTGTGGTACAGCGGCATAACGATGAGTCACGGGGCCCGGGGAGCGAGAAAATATTGGGGCACCTTGCATATCAGTAAAGTATTTTTGCTCACTAAGTGACCGGGGTGGGTATTTTTCTTACAGATAATTAATAAAGCTGAATATAAGTATTAGACAATGTAAAAAAAAAACATCGTGTGACAATAAAATCAACTAATATTTTGCACACACATTTTTTATTTGAATATTTCTGTGAAACGTATAAATTACGTCTATGCATAAATTAGACGGATACGGTAGTAGGCTAAGAAAGCCGAGTTTATGTATTTTTGAGGAGCCAGTACAGACTGTAAGTTAGAAATACAGAATTCTTAAAGTATTAGGCTTGTCGTGTGCTAATTACATTTCATTAGATTCTGCTTAGTATATCGATTTATAGTTTGGTTTATCCTTTTATTGATTATCATATGATAAACTGTATTGGAATGTTGTAATTAATAGGCCCTAGTTAATCTTTGATAAAACGTTGTATTGTTCGCTCAGATATTAGTTTTTAGTGTTAGCTGATACTTAAATAATTATGATCAGAATTATTATTATTATTATTATTATTATTATTATTATTATTATTACTACTACTACTACTACTACTACTACTACTACTACTACTACTATTACTGTACTATTATTATTAATACTATTATTATTATTACTGTTATTATAACTGTTAACGCATAACCTGCAAGCGTCATGCTGTGATTGATGTGTATTTCAGGGCTCCTCTGGTAATTTTAATTTTAATTTTGGAAACTGAATGAAATTACTGTCTGTCTGATTGGAGAAGAGACACTGTACTTCGGTGCTTTATACAACCAACGGACCTGGCACAAAAGCTGGAAACGAGGTGCATAAGCGCGAGTTGAGACGTTGAGTCAACCGCAAGTACTTTATATATATTTTGTTGAAACATTGATTTTTGAAGAAGTGATGAACATTGGGGACATTGGGTAATAGGGGTCGGTTGCAGTTTGTGGTGTCGTTCTCACCCATTGAGTGGTAGATAAGGTACCGTAATTTTGGAGGGGGCTGTTATATGTGTGGTTTGAGGGGGGTTGGTTGATCTCAGTTAATGTGTTTTATGTGGGATAGACTTGAAGATTGAGGTTAACCTAGGATACGCTGATTTTGGGTCGAGTTTAAAGTTAAGCACTGGGCCGTGCGGGTTGATGTATGTTGTTCGGGGGGTTGGTCCTAATTCATAATAAATTGCTTTGCATTTAATACGTACGTTTGCTTGTGACTTGCTCATTTAGACGTGATCCGTTTAAAGGGTGAATAACACGGGGAACCTGGCTTGTGACATGAACCTTTGCCAATATAAATAACAATTATCAAACCTAGCAACATTATCGAGCCTACTAGCCATCTAACCTTAATATACCCTAGTTGTTCGGAATAACATTATCATTTTTATGGTCAATCACAGGCCAGGAATCTCGCTGCAGTAAAATAACTCCATCTAGGACTGCAATGAGAACCGAATACTGAGCGATAGCGCGCTCCATAAACGACACATCCTCATAATGCACGTAACCCAAAAGTGAAAAAAAATGCTGAGGCGGATGCAGGATTTGGAGGTAGGGTGTGCGTCAGAGTCCACACCACTCAGGCCCACTATAGTTGCAGGGGAGGATTCATAAATTTTCTGACGGGGGCACATTGCCAATATGGAGCTCCACTCCCCACCATGGTTTAGGGCTGAGATGAGCAAATTTTGAAAATGGGCACATAGATCTAGACGCTCGGAAATTGCACACTTTGATGGTAATTTTTTTTTTTCAGAGCAGTGTTCGACAGAATTATGTACTTTTTCCCCGCTGTTTTTACTCCCCAGGCACCCTCTCCCCCTCACGGGCGTCGAGAAGGTCTAAAAGGCCGACGAAGCCTCTGTCGACGGCCCTAAATTAAAAAAAATCTGATAGAGTTCACGGGGAGGGTTTTTATGGCTTAGTTTGGTCCAACATGTGCTTTTAGACCACAATATTAGGGATTGGCAATCAAAAAACGTTATTTGGATTGGTAAACTATTATTATTATTATTATTATTATTATTATTATTATTATTATTATTATTATTATTATTGTTATTATTATTATTATTCGACTGATGTAGATTCATCTATCCAGGTTGACAATAATAAATATCAATTAAAACTTTATATCTCTGGATAAAGCAGAAAACAAAAGAACTTACGTTTTAAGCTTTCGACTGTCACTGTAGTCTTGTTCGCAATGACACACGATGGAAATTGCGTCATAGGGATTGTGACGTCAGCGGTGGGGCTGGGTGGGCCTGGTCCTGGTCCCCCTCCTCCATTCCTGCTTTTAAAGTGTTGTTCCATATGTTTGGAAGATTATATCTTCCACCATCTCCATTCAACGTTGGTCTGTTGGCCCTGATGTAGAATTAAAGAACCATCTTAGGTTCAGCCTACACTGTAAACATCTTGGCGTAGTTCCTAACTCGTTGAAATTGCAGTCGAATGTACAAGGCCTTAAGGCTAATAACATTATTAAGAACACAGAAAGAAAACTATTAGGTGTTCGAATTGGTCAAATAGTGAGGAGAATTGGTACATTGGAAGAGTCTTTACATCGTTGTAAGTTGAACATCAAGGAAAAATCACCCGAGAAACAACAGTGTTCATTACCACTGTCACTTGGCCTTTATCCGCCGGCACTATCATAATGTTCTTATCATTCTTTAAGCTGTGTAACCCACGCCATTCTTCCTTAGTAATATTTTGATCTTTTATTACCTTCAACGATCGACAGGCTGATTCAGTTGATGTAACCAGCTCCATTACCGGAAGCCGTTTAGGTGTTATAGCAAAATTCAAGCCTTTCTTTAATAACGATAACTCCGGGTCTGTCAGCGTTCTATCCGAACAATTCTTCACCCACCTTGACGTGTACTCAGAAGCTATGTTGTTATGCTCTCCTTTACCATGTTTCAAATTCTTCCCTATAAGCCTATTGAACTTATTCTGTTGTCTACGTTTCACGTCCAGGTGAGTTTGCACCTGGACCTTCGTAACAAATTCCTCAATTTCTTGACGATTATTTCAAGAAGTGTGAAGATTTATTAAGGGATGAGAAAACCTACCAAAAGCTCAGTCGGGATCCCACTAACAACTCTAAGGACATGATAAAGATACTCAAAGATCTCAAAGATAGGGGAATAATTCCTACCAGCATACACAAACAAATGTACCCCACAGTAGACCAACCTCCTCGATTTTATGGCTTACCAAAAGTTCACAAGGAGGAAATGCCCATGAGACCTATAGTCAGCTCCATCGGGACCATTACGTACGAATGTGCTCAATGTCTAGCTAAAATCATGTCTCCTTTAGTTGGACTAGGTGAATATCATGTGAGAAAAGTGGGGGATTTTGCTGAGGAGGTGAGCCAGATGATCATAGCACCAGACGAGAAATTACGTTCTTATGACGTGTCTGCCCTCTTCACTAGTGTACCCATTGATAAAGCATTGGTAGTGATAAAAGAAAGACTAGAAGAGGATGTTACTTTGAAAGAGAGAATATCATTGCAGCCATGTGACATCATTCGGTTGCTGGATTTTTGTTTGAAGTGCACTTATTTTTCTTTCCGAAACCAATTTTACTTACAGATTCATGGAGCTGCTATGGGATCACCGGTCTCTCCTATTGTGTGTAACCTCTATATGGAGGAGTTCGAAAACAGAGGTCAAAAACATCAAGAAAGCCCTGAGAAGGAATGATTACCCAGATTGGTTTTTAAACAGAGAGGTCTCAGAAACACATTCAAGAGGACGAAGTACAGCTACTTCCTTGGAGGGTTATGTGAACAGAAGAGATCAACTAAGGAAATACCCGGTGGGGATACCATATATCAAGGGGGTGTCAGAACAGATTCGCCGAGTAATGCAAAGTTACGATGTACCAGTATTTTTCAAACCGACTAACACACTTAGACAACATCTTGTACGCCCGAAGGACCGGATAAGTAAAGAGAGAGTTGTTTGTCCGGTTTACAAGATCAAGTGCCAAGATTGTAAAGCCTCCTATATTGGAGAAACAGAACGTGCATTTAAAACAAGATTTCTAGAACATCGAAGAAAGAGCTCTACTTCGTCGGAAGTTTCAAAACATATTAACACTGAGTTTCAGGGTCACAGCGTCAAATTTGATAAGGCCAAAATCCTAACTGTGAAACCAAGATGGTTTGAGAGAGGGGTCAAGGAAGCAATCTACATCAGGGCCAACAGACCAACGTTGAATGGAGATGGTGGAAGATATAATCTTCCAAACATATGGAACAACACTTTAAAGGCAGGAATGGAGGAGGGGGACCCAGCCCCACCGCTGACGTCACAATCCCTATGACGCAATTTCCATAGTGTGTCATTGTGAACAAGACTACAGTGATAGTCGAAAGCTTAAAACGTAAGTTCTTTTGTTTTCTGCTTTATCCAGAGATATAAAGTTTTAATTGATATTTATTATTATTATTCTTATTATTATTATTATTATTATTATTATTATTATTATTATTATTATTATTATTATTATTAATATTATTATTATTATTTTTGATCCGACGACATAGTCGTGCATCTGACGACAGGGGATCCAGGCCTGTCTGACGTGGTGGTGGGGAATGCCCCACTGGGGCTGAGGTGAGAACTTTTGAGAACCTGAACCTCTCATACCTTAAAAATCTTACAGGTAAT